CAACTTTGGAGGCACTAAGATGTACACCACAGCTCGAACGGGCTCCTTCAGCCTGCAGGAATGAAAAAAGCCACTAAATTCCAATCCAGTGACAAATTCATGTTTACCCATGACACGGATGCCAAACAGACATTCAGAAATACATTTCCAAAAACAATTGCAATTTTCAGGGACTCAAATTTTGTTCTCTCATAGGTTGCATGAGCTCTGCAATCTGCCTCTCTAAATTAAAACCTCTAACAACATTGTTTTCTCTATTCCCTTTGGCGTATTTGTGACAAGTCCTTGGCTCTCTGGATTGGTTTGATGGTCTGCGACAGCCTCCCAGGAGCACCTGCTTTTGACCTTTGCTAGTTCACCTGCTGACGCATGTGAGATTCAACACCAAGTCGTAACCCAGCCCCTGGCAGCGAAGTGTCAAGATGGAGCACGCTCCCACCTCTGCCCTTCCCGTGGAGGCCATGATTTAATATAGCAATCACACAGCTCATCCTGCTCGTCTCAGAAATACCACTTTCACTGACTTTCTTCCAGTTAACGAAAACTTCTAATTCTTATTACCCAACCTCCTAGCAGGAGCACGCATGCAATTAGAGGTTTTCTCCCTGCCCTACTCTGGAAGCAGAGTTGACCCATGAAGACCAGATCCAACGGGAGGCATGCCCATCCCGCACGGGCTGGGGGGCTCACCCAAGGGGCTGCATCGCCCCCCAACTCCTCCTCGTCGGGGCTCACCTGCTAGCATCCCCCACGGCACGGCGCAGCCTCGCAGGGCGCCCAGGCTGCTAACGCAATCTGAAGAGGGACGTGCTGCCCGTCAGCGCTGAGGACAACCCCTCGCACCAGCTCGGTAAGCACAAATCTCCGACTGGAGCTGCACCACCCTGCGAGGCGAGCCCAGCCCCAGGCTCACAGCTCAGCAGAGTCAAGCAGTGACTCAGGACAAAACAAACCAGCTGCAAATACTTGAAGTATGTGGACGCCAGGAGGGGAGGAGCCACTGCCTACCATGAGAAGAGAGGGGATGAAACTAGGGCAGGGAATAATTAATCTGAGCGAAAGGCTAAACTCGCTGCCAGGAGCAGGATCTGGCCAGGGTGAAAACTCTCACTCTGGACATTGGTAGTAAGCCTGTAACAGAACATATCCACTGCTCCAAAAGAAACAGACTGGATATATTCAGTGTCTCATTGCTCCTTAGGAGGAAGTGGGGGGTGCAGCACAGAGGTGCCATGGCAGAAGAGGAAGGACTTCAGCCCACAGAAGTGAATTCAGCCTTGGCAGAGTTCTGAGACCACATAGCAGGGGATAAATCCAGACAAACCATAAAAATGAGCTGAACAGGAACAGACTGGGGGCACTTCCCCAGAGCCACTGGAATGGCTTGATGTCTCAAAGATGTCTGATGCAGAGCCTGCTTGGGGACATCTCTATGCCAGGTAAGATTACAACCATTGCCCCAAACAGCCTGTGGTTGCCCAGACATGAACACAGCCCCACCGCATTCGGTGTGAACAGAGGATGGTCCCAACCTGTGACGCAAAAAAAAAGTGAAGTAGTATGATGGTGTACAAAGAGCTAACCTTCTAAAGCTGAGGCACAGCATCAAAGAAAGTGTGAACAAAAACACTGATGGAAAAAAGAATGAAAGCTGGAAGTTCTTTAAAAGGATGTTTTAAATAGATAATCCAAAAAACGTGGTTATATGATCAAGAGAACGATATTGATGAAAAAATCTGTCCCGGGTCTGTGCTTCAATAAAGGTAGCAAATATAAATAAATGAATGAATATAGAAAACCAGATAATAGACAATAGACACACCAGGAACTCTGAAGTACAGAAAAATGAGAAAAGAAAAATATAAAGAAAAATCCATGGATGGTAGAATTACAAATTCAGTTTTCATTTTTTAAATGAGGAAATAAAATGCTACTTTATAATAGACTTCTATTTCCATCCAGGACAAAAGAAACCCTTTCAATGATGCAATCCCACAAGTAAGCAGAAATAGTAAAATTTTGGTAAGTTTGGCAAAAAGGCAGAATTATACAATAAATATTCTGTTTCTTTCTGTCTAAAAAGCAGAAATAAGACCTTGCTAACTGGCACCTCAAAAACCCATTGCCAGTGGAGAATATCCATAAAAGAGGGTACTCCTAATCAGGTTCTCCAGGGACTGTATTTAGAGTTGATCCTACATAATATTTTTAAAGTAAATGGAAAATCACTGCCATCATGTAGAGAACTGAACATTAGTTCAACAGGATCGCAAATAAAGATGAGGCATATGGTCACTGAGTGACCCAAGGTATCCTGAATAAGATGGAATTATTCAAACCAAGCAGGTTTAATGCAGGCAAATGCATTAATGTATTAATGGGGACAAGAAATGCAGCCACAAGCAGGACTGTATTCTGGGGAATAATGCTTCTGCTTGATTGGCCAAAATGCAGCAGGAGTTCCCCGAGCACTGCAGAGGCAGATTGGGGTCCTTGGACAAGGGCACAGGAGCACAGCAAGGTACACCTCTGTGCAAGCAAGTGCTGACACCCACCCAGAGTGCCTCACGCAGCTCTGAAGTCCATTATTTTGAAAGAGTCTGAACTGAAAAATTAGCGAGCATCAGGAAGAATAAAGAGTAAAGGTCTTCCTGTGAATCTTTGCCATGAATATTTTAAGACTGTATTCACTACAAAGAACTGAAGACTGAAAAATTACTTAATTACAGTACCTGCCTGAGAAGAAAATCCATCAACTAAAAAGCTCTAATTTAGTAGAAAAAGGTTGGGGTTCAGAGCTGAAATGCAACACATTAGCATGCAAAACCTTTAAGAGTGATGGTGACTAAGCAGCAAAGCTATGACAGGCGGGTTCTCCTTCTGTTGATGTGGCAGGCAGACACAGCTGAGTCTCATCCCAGAAGAGATGCTCTAACCAAGTAGCTGTCACTGGGCTGTACCACAGAGAAATCTGCAAGAAGTGTAATAACCCCGCTTACGGGAAAGATCAGGCCATGTCATCTCTAGCAGGGCTTTCAAGTCCTAAATTCTGTTACTCTGTGGACAGGAGGAGGAACCCAGAAACGAAGTAGACAGCATTAGAAAACGCGCCTGGAGCACACACAGAGGGAAAAACAGAGCCGACCTTTTCCTACCAGCTGGGCAGGAGGGTGCCTGCTGCCAAGCACGATGGGAGGGCTTTTGGGCAGGCTCCCAGGTGCTGGTGAGGTCTTACATTGAGGCAGCTACAGCAGCAAAGCATATACGCCCAGGAGGGCTGTTGCTGGTGCAGCACTGTGCCCCAGCAGGGCAGGAGGAGGAACTGGGAATTGCAGCCAGAAACGGGCCACAGGTCAGACAGAGTGTGTTTCAAAACACCTGGAGCCTTCCTCCCTCCTTTCATGCTATGGGACATGGGCCCTGATGACGAGGGCATCCTGCCTGCACCTCCCACAGCCACTCCTGTGCCCCTGAGCCTGCCACAGTGGGGAAAAAATCCAACACCCCCCCCGCAGCGCAAGCATGGGTGTACGCAGCGTCTCATAACATCAGAGGAGCGAAGGCTCTCACCCGGCATGGCAGTCTGTCCCCCCTCCCCTTGCACAAGCTGGCCAGGCCAGCACTGCTCCAGCCTCCCAAGGCTTTGTGGGCCGTTTCCCTCCCTGCTCTGCTCCTGGCTCCTCCTAGCTTCCCCGCTGCCCTTTGGACGTCCTGGCACTGCAATACCTCTCCCTTCCCTCGCCCTGGGGACGCAGCTGAGCAAAGTCCCACCCTACCAGAGCGGCCGAAGTGCAGAAATGCAGCTGGCAGAGCCTGCTTAATCAAATACCTCCAGAGGACAGATTTCACACTGTTTAAGCTGACAGGCAGCCGCAGCCTCCAGCCCTGCCACCTCCGGCCGCTGCACTGCGGTGCTGTTTTCCTCTGCGTTTCAACCCCGCTTCATGGAGAGTTCACACACATGCCTGAGACAGACACTGGCAGAAAGGGTGCAGAAGCAAACAGGTTTTCAGGCACATGGCTGCCCAACGGGGAGGCCAATCCACCAAGAAGTGCTCTTTCACTCCCTCTGCCCAGACCCTACCTCCTTGCTGCCCCTTCCCCAACACACACTGATAGCCTTGCAACAACGAGCCATGCCCCACAAAGCTGTCTGCAGCTGACTCTGTCCATGGTGTCAACGGAATGATTCTGCCCATGCCAAGACAGCCTGAGCCCTCCAGCTTTGGTATCTCTCCAGCTCCAGGGTGCTGGTTGATGGGACTGGAGACCGAGGGATGGCTCAGGCACCCAGGACACAGCATGCAGCTGCTGTAGCGCAGGCAAGGGACTACTGTAGTACCGAGGGGCTGGCGATGCAGGAGGTACCATTCCCATCTGCAACAGCCTCCTAACGCGTAGGTGCCTCAGTGTCCTGCCCATGTGTAATCATGCAACTACAAGTACTTGCCTTCTGTGTCTGTCCAAGTGCTACAACAACTATTTCCCCTATTTCCTGCTTCGTGCTGCCTGCGAACAGATGCCATACTCGCCCTCCGCAGGGTCAGGAATTGGTTCCTACACACAGAATTCGTTCATGATGGGTTATAATAGTAAAACAGGCAGTGGGAATAACCCCAGTGCCTCACCCTTTCCCCCATGAGGAACCTCCTTGGGGCCCTGAGAGAGCAGACAAATCAGGGGCACAGGTTTTAGGGTGTACACAAAACACTCGGGGCACAGGTGGAGGAGTGAGCAAAAGGGCAGCAGTGAGCCGTGGGTCTGTGCTGCCTGGGCTTCCCTCCCACCTGGGCCTCTGCAAAATGGGGGCAAGAGCCCTGGCAGGACACATAGGTGACTGTACAGAGGGGTAACAATGATGATGCCCATTTCAGCAAGCCCCAGGGTTTCCCGTGAGAGCCTGGCTATGCCAGCCACCCATCTGCGCCAGAGTCCGGGTGCTGCCCAGGTGTCAGGGCAGGGCGAAGGCACACCCAACTGCCCAGCATTTCCCCGCGTACCTCGCTTCTCCTTCCTGGTCTGCACAAACTCCGAGTGCCGCAGGGCACTGGGAGCCGTCCGTCTGTAGAAGCTGTTTCGCTGCAGCACGGAGCCCACCCTGTTTGCTTCCTTGGCCTCCTGTTCCCAGATCTGGCTCCAGTCCGGCCGGCCCGTGCGTACCCTCGAGTGCTCTGCTCTGCCGCTGCTCCTGGCTGGCATCCCAGGCCCTGGGGCTGCTCTTTCCAGCTCCCCACAGCTGTTGTAGTCCGTGTCCTGCATCTTGGACTGTGTGTAGCAGGTACCTGACCCCAGGCTTACGCTACCATCTCCTGAGGACCAGACCACAAATGCAGGAGCTTCACAACCTCTGTCCAGATTGCTGCGGTCCATGCCATGGCCTTTGGGCTGCCTGTGCTGCTCAAAGTCTTCTTGGTCTTCTTGGTCCCTGACACCTATATACTGCCTTTCCTGCTCTCTATATGCCCCAGAGCCTCCATCCTCTCTATAATCCTTTTCCCCTTCTCTATATACTTGATTGCCTCCATCCTCTCTATACTGCCTTCCCCCCTCCCTATACTGCCCAGAGCCTCTCTCCTGCCTACACTGCCTTTCCCTTTCCCCATAATGTCTTTCACCCTCACTGTAGTCCCTAGGATCTCTGTCCTCCTTATACAACCTTCCCCCCTCCCTATACTGCCCAGGTACTCTGTCTTCTCTGTATTGCCCTTCTCTTATCTCAGAACTGCAGCCCCCTCCTCTCTATACTGCCTTCCTCCCTCCCTATCCTGCCCAGGTACTCTGTCCTCTCTGTACTGCCTTCCTCCCTCCCTATACTGCCCAGGTACTCTGTCTTCTCTGTATTGCCCTTCTCTTATCTCAGAACTGCAGTCTCTGTATTGAACGTCCTCCCTCTCATACATCCTATAGTTTCTATCCTGGCTTTTGCCGTCCCAAGCACTGTCTGCTCTCCTGCAGTCCGCATACTGGATACCTCCCTTCCAAAAACCTCCACAGTCTCCATTCATGCTCTGTCGATCCATGGAGATGCCCTCCCTTCTCCTGTAACCGTCCCAGCCGCTGTCTGCTCCCCGGCAGCCTGGGTACTGCCTCCTCGCCCTGGGTCTGTCATTGCAGCGAGCCTCACCATGCAGCGCGGCCACCCCAGCCATGTCCTCTCTCTGCACAGCACAACAGTCCTCATATTCCCAGCCGAGGAGCTGTGGCTCCTGCCTCAGATCCTCCACACCGTGTTTCGTCCCGGGATAAGTGCACATAGTCCCGCTGGGGTGCGGTGCAGGTGCTGACTCCCTTTGCTACCAGCTCCCCGAGCCCAAGCCCGGGCTGACGCCGCTTCTCTGCTCTGCTCCAGCGCTCCCGTCCCAAGTGAAACGCAGGCGTCGCTTCCTGAAACCAGCCAGCAAGAGTACGAAAAGGCACGGGCCCAATCACTGCCAGCCCCAGCCTCCTCCACCTGCTGCCCAAAGTAATCAGTAACCAGCCCCGAGGAGGGAGGCCGGGGCTGGGCAGGCTCTCACCGCCCAAACCGGCTCCGCGGCTTTGCCAAAGCCTCTCCCCAGGCGGCTCAGAGGCAGGGAAAAGGAAGGCACTGGAGCATGCGGAGGCCCTGCCCCAAGACCAACATCCTCAGGGAAAGGAAACAGCATGTGAGACCGCGGGAAGCCACAGACCAGAGATGGGATACCAGATCTCCTTCCCGTGCCTTCAGGCTCCCGCCGGCATGGAGGCTAAATGACGCCGTCTAGCAGAGGCTGGGCTCTGCTCCACACCTCAGTGGGGTAGATTGAGGCCTTCAGGCCACCCCTGTCTCAAACCTGATGCTGAGCCCATCCTTTTCCCAGCCCTCAGCCACAGGTCCTGGGAAGAGCTGGAGATGAGCAGCTCCCTGTGTGACAGAGCATCCCCGACCAGTGCCTGTGCAGTGCCACACAGCCACAGCTGCCCGGTTCCCTGCTCCAGGGCGAATGGCTGGTCCCCCTGCTGATAGTAACAGGCTTGAAGGGAACATCTGGGTTATGGAGTTGGCTGCCAACACACAATGTTTCCAGGATGCTATAGATACATGTGCTCCTCTCGCTGCAGGGTGCAACATATTCCCAGTTTTCCATACCAAATGCAGGACTTCCTATGAGAAACCAAAAGATGACCACAACAGAAACAGGAGAGCCCATGCATGTCATCCCCATCTCAGGTTCTTACAACACTTGTTAGGTATGCACAGCCAATGCTCCCAGCTAGTAGAAGACAAAAATAAAACCAATGGACCCTCCTACTCCAACTGCAGGAGGGCAAGCACTAATCCTGCCCAAGCCTGGTGATCAGTGAAACCCTCAGTGTGCACGCAAGACATACCAAAGAAGCAACCTGCACATTTTAAACACGTATTTTAGAAAACCACATACTTTCTGCTCTTCCTTTGGCTCTCCAAAGGACACACCAAGGGGCTGGGCTCCCCTAAGACTATGCCAGCCCTATTTTGGTTGCTGGTCAATGCTTAGGGAAAGCTTTTCTCCCTCCTGCATGCCTCCATGTTCCCCTAATGGCGGAAAGGCAGAGGCCACACCTGAAGCATGGTGCAAACACGTTTTGCTGAGCCGATGCAACACTGCATTACTGATCTGGCCTGCTGCACTGAAGCTGGGCTAGCAAGCCTGAGGCACGCTCTCTGGCCATGCTCAGATGTGGCAGGAGGGATGCAAGAGAGCAGGTAGGGTATATCTTTATCATAGGACCAGAGAGGCTACTTATAAATTCTCAGGTTTTTTGAAGTGGTAACAAATCCTCTAAGACTACTAAGGGGATAACTTGACAGGTAGGATGTCTCAAGATAGTGTGTTAGTTCTTGCCTAGAACTTCCAGTTCCTGTAACCAAACAGGGCACAGGTTCTGCAGGACCCATTCTCTGTCAGGAAGCACTGGGGCAGTAGGAGACATTTCCCAGCAAGATCTATCCCGTAAGAAAATTTCCCTTGATCCAGCCTGGATTTTCCTCTTCCTACCTTCAAGTTATTTCATCTAGCCTCAAATCCTTTAAGCCTTCTTCCAAGCATCCCTCTTGCATGCCACTGATGTGGAGGCTCTTTGTCACCCCGTTTCCCTGGTGCACCCATATCAGCCTTCATTCCCATGTACTCTGCATCAGACGCGATCCTGCAGCAAAGTGCCTGGGCTTTCCAAGCACTGATTAAGCAGTGGGAGGATGGAGGCAATGAAGTCAGAGTGAGTAATCCCCAGGCAGGAGTTGGCATTTCACTCCACCTCCCGCGTGCAGTGCCCACATTTCCTGCACATCGTGGGTTTCGATCACAGAACTGCAGTGTCAGAGCTCCTGGGAGAAGCTGGGGTAGGGACTGTGGGAGATGTACATGTGTCCTTCCACTTTGTCTACTGTAATATCAAGTATAACGTAATTAACAGCACTGATCTTTATATGGCATCTTTGGGTTTCGGAGCTCAAATGTGCTGATATAAACAGTGCAAATTTCTCCTCCCTGAGTAATTTTTCTGGGCTGCAAGGACAAAAGTCATCTTTTTGGCTACAGACATGCTGCAATTTAAAGCTCTTTGTTGCTGTTACCGACCGCGCAGCGTCATTTTCCTGTCCTGAAATTCTGGACTCCATGGATGGCACGAGCACAGGGGCAGGCTTTACTTTTTGCCCACTAAGCCTCCCCACTCCCAGGCCAGGTTCAGCACTGTCTGGGCATCCCCTCTGATTTGAGTGACAAGTCTCCCCCCAGAGCAGAAACCGCAGGAAACCCACTGCCCTGACAGGCTGAGGGCAGTCATGTCACAGACATCAACTCAGACCTCAACTGCAGGACCACCAGCAACGCCACTCTGAAGCTGCTGCTCACTCCCCCACAGCTAAGAGGGGGTGAGGTAGGGAGGTGGAACCTGCAGCAGCTGTGTTTTTGCTTGAGAGCAAGGACACACTGGGAATGGATGAGATGAGGGCTCTGGATGTACGGTGAGGCTGGAAAAAGAGATGGGAGAGTTGGAAAGAAAAGGGGGTGGGGAAGGCCAGGGCTGAGGGGTGTCCAGAGAATGGCACTGTGGTTCTCTGAGGCAAAATCATGATGATTTGTACTGCAACAATGCTTATGAAATTACCAAAATCAGAAATTAAAGAAGGAAATAAAAGACTGACTCCAACAGTGCCTGTACACAGCAAGGGCCAGCTGTCCCGCTCAAGCACCCCCATCCCATGCCGCTGCAGACTCACCTCTCAGCTCCTGCAGCTCCATGCTGAGACTCTCGATGTTGGAGTCACAGAAATCAAGGTTTTCCAGGGTCTCCGCTCTCACCAGCTCATCCTGCTGCTCCTCCAGCATCAGGCTTAGCTCAGCGCGGGTCTTGCCGTAAGCCTCCAGGTCTCGCTCCACCTCTCCAATCCTCGTCAGAAGAATGGAGCCGGGGGAAGCTGATCCTGCCCGTGTCAAGTCCTGCCCGTGTCCCTCCTCTGCCCGCTGCTCCTGGGCGCTGGGCTGAAGCTGCGGAGGGGGCACACTCCTCCGCTGGTTGCTTGAGGGAGGCCGGGGCGCAGGCCGGGAGGGCTTCACCGAGAAGGACAGAGACCTGCCTTTAGGCACCTGGCCACCCTGCATGTGCACAGGGGTTGTCGCAAGGCTGCTGGGCCGAGGAGGGGGTGGCCTCAGGGCCTTCCTCCTCTCTGGCTGCCTGGCGTGGGGGGCACACTCAGGAGTCCCACGGACAATGTCCTTCTCAGAGCTGTAGTCCAAGATAGAGAAGTGTCGGGAGATCTTGTCCTGCTCAGTGCCGGTAGTTGTCAGACTCTTCTCAAACTGCACCAGCTGCTCTGTCAGTTTGGAGTCGAGGTCCGTGCAGCCATCCCCCTGCGCTGTGAGCGGGCAGCATTCCCCCCAGCTCCCAGCCCACGTGTCCAGGCCCACCTGGGAACCTCCCAAGCTGGAGGAACAAGGTTTGGACTTCTCCTGTTGACCGTCCACCCAATCGTCCAGGCCCTGGGTGTTGCTCTGGCTCTCCTGGGGCTCGGATGCTGCCCAGCTGTTAGGAGAAGAAATTGCCTGGCTCCTGCAAGGATCTGGGGGGGAGTGGGGAACCTGCGGGGGCACAGTGGGACTGTCTCCATCACGCTCAGGCAGGCTGTGAGTTTCTGAGTTTCCTGGGGAGGCTGACACAGTTCCCCCAGGCTCCGACTCACCTGCTTGGCCAGACCTGCTGCCCCGCTGCGGAGGCAGCTTAGCAGCGGGGAGAAGGCCATTGACCGTCTTTGTGTGGTCAAAGGGGAGGGAGTCTGCTGTGCCTTTGGGACGCGGCCCTTGGTGTCCAGTGCCAGGAAAGGCCTGACGCTGTTTCAAATCTGTGCCAAGATGACCCTCTGTTCTCCCCACCATGTGAGACAAAATGGTGTCAGGCTCAGGGTGTGCAGCCAAGCCATCCTCCTTTTCCCTGCCATCTTCCCCTGGCGAAGGAAGAGCTTCGGAGCAGGTGTCTTCTGGGTCCTGATGGACGGTGACGCCACAGCTGCCACCTCCTTGGGGATCCCCAGCACCCACCTTTTCCCTGCAAGGCTCAGAGGTTTCCAGCCTCACAAATCTGTGTGGAAAGATGCCACGTTTCCCCCTCAACTCCCCCTCCAGCCAGCCATCCTCCAGAATGCCTATGATCCGAATCCTGTCACCCACATCAAAATCCAGTTCCTTGGACTCCAGGGCTTGGAACTGATAGAGGGCAACACCATAGGTGCACCCTGGCTCCTCCTCCTCCTTGGGGGGCATCTCCACTGTCCCATTGGTGTCACAAGTCCCTGTGGGCTCTGGATCCACTGAGGTTCCTGGTGCTCGCAGAGGAGTAAGCAGTTCTACAAAACCCTCTGGGAAGATGCCCCTGCGGCCTCTGAGCTCGCCTTCAAACCAGCCAGGCTCTGGGACACCAACAATGTTGATCACATCTCCTTCCCTGAAGTCCAGTTCCTCCTCCAGCTGAGCAGACAGGTCCATCAGGGCCCGGGCTTGGCCCAGTGAGTAGGCAGGCACCTCCAGGAGAGCACTCTGGGACAGCTGACGACTCCGAACTGAAAGGCACAGCTCCCGCACACATGATGATGGGAAAAAGCCCTTGGAACCCCAGCTGCTTCGGCCCTGGAGCCAGCTGGAGGCCAGGGACCCGCCCAGGATCACCAGGTCTCCTGCAGGGAATGAGACACACAGTTCAAAACTGCCCTCATGATTGCTCCCACCTCTTATTCCTGCCTCCCCACGTCCTTCCTGGCTGTGCGTAAGGTCTGGCACTCTGCACAGAGCGCAGTGCGTGTTGGGGATGCACAAGAGCACAGAATGGAGGTAAGGCATGAAGCATTTTGCAGCCTCTTGCACACATGTATCTAAGATACACAGTTTTGGCTGCTAAGCCATGACCGTGCACCAAAGCTTTGATTTCTCCCCCAAATGCAAGTCTAAGATTTGGGGATTGGAGGGCACTTAAAAGGCAGCTGTAAGTTTACTATGATCACACGACTCCAATATTTGGAGTTTCAAGAGTAATGATAGATCATGAGAAACTGGTATCAGAGTGGCAGAAGCCCAAAGGGCCATGGTGGATTTGACATGACCCATGTCATGAAGTATTAGGAAATTCCCTGTCTCTCCTGCCACTCTAGGCAGGATGCTGTGACTAGGATCATGCTTCTGGAAGGACAGGTGAGGGCTATGAGATGCAAAGCAAAGGAAGGAATGCAGATTACCTCTCTGCAATGACAAGCTCCCTGGCTCTTGAGATGTGAAGTCACTGGTGCAAACAAACAGTTTTTCTCCCTGCTTCAAAGGGGGGATATCCACAGGTTCCACAAAGCTGCTAGGAAACTGCCCTAAAACGAGAAGCAGTTGTCAGCAATGAGCCTTTCCTGTAGCCCATCACTACTCCCTCCACCCTCCTTCCAGATTTTGGGATCTATTCATCTTTTGCTAAAGGAAAATAACCAGCTACCCAGGGTGCTTCAACAGCATGGTGGAAGAGGAACAAGTTTGGGAGTCAGGAATTCCTGAGGTTTTAAATGCTTAAGAGCTAACAGAGAACAAAAAGCTTTGTGTCCTCGGCTAACTCCAGGCAATCAACAGGCTGTGTTCATTACTGGGACTGTGCCATCAGCATGGTGCTTCTGGGAACAGACATACTATGTTTTCTCTGCTTTCATTGCTTGCTTCCCAACTCAGAGCCATGATGAGGACTGAGAGATCCAGTAGTGCTGGACCATGAGACCAGTGTCTTGTGACTAGGCACATCTACCTAGTGCTCCTCACTCTGCAAGGCTTGGCCCCTGCATGGCCTCAGCACAGAAGTCAGGCCACCACACTCGGGATGGCCACATGTGTGAGTCACAGGCTCTGTCACAGCTTCAGTGCTGCCGAGGCTCCAGGGACCTTCCCCACTTTATCACCTCTCTGCATCTATTTCACCATGTCACCCATTGCTGTATGCCCAGCTATTCTGAACAGGCCACAGCCAGATGGGGCAGCGCACACTTGTTGGCCCTTACAAGATACCACTCAGCAAGATACCACTCAGATACCACTCAGCTACTAACTTCAGTCCCGGAAGCACAGGATGTGGCAGAGCCCACTGCAAAGGCCACTAAAAATGTCATTCCTATCTTTCATAATTTGTGGCAAGGGGATATGATGGAGTATGGGCTAGTAGCACTTCCAGCATTCACTCTTGATGACCCAATATGGCATCCATGTTCTCCAATAAAACCTGGAGACACCATATTCTAGACACCCAGAACTTTGCACTGGCTTTGGGCAGTTTGGCATCTGCTGTCATTAACCCGAGGTGCAACCAGCAGCCCACAGGCTGTTAGTTTCAGTGGCTTCCTTCACAGTTCTAACCAACTCTACCCCTTTTTTCACGTCTTAGTTTCCTGCTCTGTACATGGAAACAACCTAATGCTGTTAGAAAGGAAGTCATGGAGCTACATTAATTATTCCCCACAGAGTACTGAGTATTATTATTGGTAGGATGCAGCACTTCCACAGCTTCTATTCAAAAGCACTTTTTCAATTCCTTACAACTTTAGCTTAGAAAACTGGGCAGAAAACTACAACAGCTGTTCTAAGGGAAAAAAAAGTTAAAGGCCATTAAAAACCATTCCGTTTGACTTCAGCATGTTTCTTTATCTTTGAGCTACAACACACATCTGTTTATTATTCCTTAATACCTTCATTTTCTTGAGAACAAGCGCATCAGTTATGCTGGGAGACAAAACTGTGGTGAAGTAGATACTGGTGATTTCTGCAGAAGTAATTTATGCCCAGTGACTTCAGCAGCACCAGCAGCATCTGGCACGTGTTCATTCAATTCCATTTATCAGCTATGTGAAGCACAGGAGAGAAGTCCTCCTCTCCACCTTTGCTCCTGTCCGTCTTTGTTTTAGCCAGGAGACAGCTCGCGGCTGTTAGCAGAGCCCAGACTGCTGCTGCAATAGCAGCCCCATCTCCACGGCCAGGGATGAAACTCCAGTTCCACCCTCACCCTGAAGACAGAGTCAGGCTTATGCTTTGAAGTGGCCTGGTTTTCATCTCCCTGAGAACTCACACATCCTCTCAACATCAGTATTAAGATGAGAAAGAGCTGCTTAAACAGGGTCTGCAAGACTCTGTTTCACTAAGAGCATTTTGCTGCTTCAGAAGTTTCTCACACCCCTCCAAAAGTTTAAAAGACTTGCGCACTACTTCAGGCACCCAGATATTGATGGCAGCTTGTGCAGGAAAATGCTTTAAAGTGGAAAGGAGGATGTGGGGCTGAGTCAGAGGGCTCAGAGGGACACACAGACTCTGCCGCTGTGTCTCCCACTGACTTGACCTGACGAGGTCACTTGGATGTGGATGCATTTCCACTCTCAGTGCATCTGTTTCCTCTCTCCCCTTCCACTGCCACAGTGGGTCAGTGCATAAACTAGCCAGGAAATGGGCTGTCTCACCACAGAGGATGGAGCAACTAGTATTGTGAAGCTCTCATCTCCTCGAGAACTGTCCCTCCACTAATCTCTCTCAAAAAACAACAAATGAGCTGTCTGAATAGTTGACGCAAAGCTGGCAGGCAACCTGCACCCTCAGTCCCAAGCAAAGTCCCATGAAAGATTTAGTAAATCAAATCTGGTTCTGCACAGCACCGGCCAAGGGAAGGTGTGCTCACAGAGTGGATGTTTAGCTGGCCCATCTATGGATTCAGGTGCAGGCATTTCCAGCTCTTACCTGTGACACCTTCCTTCTTGCCGAGGAGCCAGAACTCGTCCACCACGGCCAGCACCTCGATGACATCTCCCACGAAGAGGGGCAGCTCTTCAGAGACGCTGGGACAGAAATCAAAGACTGCTCGTACCACGGAGCCAGCCTCCATTGCGTGGGGTCTGAAGGCGGATCAGTACCTAAAGTTGAGACACAGTGGGAAGTTTGTTAGCAGCCAGAAAGACCTGAAATTATCACATATATGCTCAGAAAGTAAAACCCTTCCTGAGCACAAGAGGCAGGAACAGTGCGAGGGGGTCCTGTCCTGAGCTCCCTGAAACCCCTCACCACGTGAAGCATGCCACAGGAGCCAAGGGTCTGCAGCAATGCAGCCCCCATGGTCTAACCTGCCTTGTCCAGCCCTATTGTCCAGGCTATTTGTGGGGACACGTGTTTGTGCTGCAATTGGAGGAGAAGCAGCAAGAAAATTGGAAGTGAATTCCCGTCAGGAAGGAAGCAAGAGGAGGGGAGGAAGCTCAGCGCTTCCCTGACACGCAGGGCAGGGCCCTGAGCCTGCCAGGTCTGGGTGGGCAGATAGCACCACTCACTTGCACAGTCCCACCAAGCATGCTCTGGTGGGATGGGCACAGGCATCCCCCTCCCCACGCCACCGCTCAGGGCCCAGGAACCACGTCCTGGAGCAGCGTCACTCTTCTGCCCAGCAAGAGAAGAGGCACAAAGTCCACTCAGGCAAACTCACCCCACCATCGTCTTCCCCACCGGCAAACTCTTCCCACCCCCACCTGGGCTGACACAGCCTGGGCATCCTCAGACCTGGCTAGAAATGCCCCTTCTGCCTTCTAGGTACCAGGCTCAGCCATCCCCTGGGAGGCCTCACCATGGCTCTTGGCAGAAGCCAGGCTGAGATGAGGGTGCAGACCCTGTCCAAGGCTCTGGGAGCCAAGGCTGAAATTCCCCTGGCAGGGGACCTGAAGGCAGGCAAAGACGTCCTCATCATGGGCTATGTCCTGGGTTCCCCCTTCCTCTGGAAGTGGCTGCTGAGCCCGGACACTTTTCATCTTTGCTTCATACTAAGCAGCCTCACCATCAAGGCAATACACAGCACCAAGGCAGCAGCAGTCCTGCAGCTTCAGCTGCTCCTTCCCCTCCTCGCAAATCCCTCGGGAGGGGAACTGAAAGGTGCATCCATCCAAGGCAACCAGGAACCCTAAGATTATGCCTCAACATCTGCACCTCAGACCAGTGACTGCTTCCCTTCATCTTCATGTCCCACTGCAATTACGGGCAGAGCATAGCACTGCTGACACCTCTCCGAGGTGCTTTCAGAGCCCTGCCCTCTGCGACGCCAGGACGTCAGCATCCTCCCCACCAGCCCCCTCAACACAGGCTGCTTTCCTCCCACATCACAAGCACAATTCCCACTCCGCCCGGTTGGACACAGCTTCCCTGCAACGGGACCCAACCTCTCCTCCCAAAGCACCTCTACGTGCATGGTGAACAGTCACCCTCCAAGCGCCGCCCAGCCGGCGACACCTGTCCCGTACTCAGCATGGCTTGTCAAACCATCCTGCCTAGCCAACAGCAGAAAGAGCACGGTGACGACACACCACCACCCACAGTGAACACATGGGGCCTCCGGGGCCCCCATTTCTCCATACAGCTGCGCACGGCCCACCTGAGCCCCAGAGAGTCAGGAAGAGGGGACGCTAACACAGGCAGGAGAAAAACATCCCCGCTGACGAGGTGCAGCCAACTTCCAGCAAGAGTGCCAGCAGGGGATCCAGCCAGGGAAAGGCTTTCTGCTGACGGCACCGCTCTGTTTATCCAGTCCGACTCACCTCCTGGGAACAAAGCGGGTTTGTACTCGGCAGACACAGCTTCCTCAGCACGTCCCTCCCCACCCCCAGCTGTGCCCCCGCTGAAGCCAGCACGCTGCGCCCCGGCCCCCAGCCACCCTCACCTCTGCTGTCCCGTCCGTCACTCCTATTGCTCTCCACTGTCTTCCCCGTAGCACGTGGGCTCCTTGGGGCACAGCCTGTCCCTTTGTCAGCAGTGTTGTGCTGGCTGTACAAACAAAGAGCCCAATATCCAGCAGCCGACAGCACTTTGCCACCAAAAAGAGATGAATGGACTGGAGTGAATCAGAAGCACAAAGAGCTGCAGTTTGGGGTAGCAGGAACCTACTGAGGCAGAAGGAGTAACAGTATTAAAAACATGACCATGTGGAGCAGGGAAAAAGATGGAAGAGCCATCAATTAGCTTGGAAATACTAAAGACAAGGAAGGAGCCTTGCGCTGTTTGAGGTGGGGTGGCTGGGACATGCTGCCGCATGCTCTGACGGACATAGGAGAGCAGCAGCGACAGGCGCAGCAGTAGCAGCCCCTTGCAGGCACTGGGGCTGCCCTCCACTCTGCAGACAGGCTGCTGACTGAGCTCAGGGTCCTAGGAATCCTTGCCATACTCTGAATATGCAAACTTCACAGCCGCATTGGACAAAGGGGGAAAAAAATATTGCAGGCATAACTGCTGCCTTGGGGTAATTTCTCCAGGAGCGCATGATGGTACAGTGAGATTTCTTGCGTTTCTTCTGTCAAAGGTGTAATGTAAACGTGGGCTGAGGAGTGCAAGGATTACAGCATGTGTGCTGCAGACCCAAACCCTGGCTTTGCTGCAGTCACTGGGGCTGAGGATATGGCCCTCCCACTGCCTGGGGCTCAGATCCTGCCCATGAAAACAGCAGTGTCACTTCCTTAGCTCACCTGCAGCTCTGGGGACTCATTCATTAAAATGTACAAGATTTTCCAACGAGACTAAAGATCGAGAGGGGCAGGCAGGATTGCAGTTGTTCTGCCATGTATATATTAATTGCACTTACAATAAAACACAGGCACTAACATATTCATGTGAAAAGCATTCCCCGAGAGCCAGTCCATGAGGTAAGAAAACGTGAAGTAACTTCTGAAACTGCCAAAAAAAGAATCCCAACAAGCTCATGTTCCCTCAGCAGTACCAAGAAGGGCAGGATCACTCCCTGACTCCATCTGAGTCTAGACAGTATGCCCCTGTATTCGAAAGCCATGAATCAGTCTTGTGGAGTTTGCTTGCTCCATAATATGAATTGAACACAAAATATTATGTTTTCCAGGATCTTGGCCTTGTCTTACTCCATGGAGTGCTGCCTGCCAACGTTTTCTCCAAACCCCCACCTAGAGAAGGAAGCCTCTCAGCATCTTCCAGACTGGAAACTTACTGAGTCCAACTCTTCAGGCCTAATGGCGGACCTGAGCTTCTCCCAGATCCACCCTAGATCTGGTGAAAACAAACATCCAGCAGCAGCTTGCACAGAAGCTCCAGCAGGAAAAGCAGATTGCAGGGAGAGCCGGGCTCCGCCTGTGATCCCCAGTGAGTCAGGGCTCCTGACGGCAGGCCAAGCACCATCCCCTCTCACCTCAAGGACGAGTGATCCCTGTCTGCCAGGGGGAGGGAGGGAGGGCTCCTCCACAACTGAGCAAACACTGGGACTTCACGCTGGCGGAGGTCAGGACTGCGAATTGCAGGACTCTTGCCCCCGCCTAGCAGCAGATCCGCATCCAAAGACAGCCTCACTGTGCAAGTATGAAGCTGCAGCGCAGCAGTGAACTCGCCCCACTGAGAACACGCTGTCTCTGTCTCGCTGCCTGATCCTGCACAAACTAGGTGTTCCTGGAGCCCGACTGCAGCCCGCCCGCTGCCAAGCTCCGGGCCTGACACAACAGCATTGTGCAGCAAGGCAGGGAGTGAATTCCCAGAGCATTAATCACTCCCCCCAGCCTGCCTGAATGCATGCTCAGCACACATTAACATTACCTTCGTGGAAGACTGCCTATCCCATTTCGCCATTAGCTCTGGAGCGTGGCTGGTCCAGCGTGGGCTGATGAAAGGAGGGACCAGAATGAAATAACGGCTATTATTACCTCTGTTACAATATTGTTTTGAGACCTTCAGCACAGACTGGATCAAGCCACAGCAGCCAAGAGGAGGCATTTACACACTGACTCAGACAACTTCTTGTACCCCTCCCCTCTTTTTGCAGCCAAAATCGTGCAGGGTAAGAAGTCTCAAACAATGGACTCACCAACATTAAATTATTGTCAGGCGTTTGCTCAAAGTGATGACCCACCATCACTTACATGAAAGCAGGCCTACTGAAGATGGTGATACAAATTTCCTTTTTGTATCTTTTTGATGGTAAGTGCGAGCAAACAAGTCACTGATGAATTTCTGTACCTTAGAAACAGGAGTTCTGTCTTCCCTGTTTTTGCTGAAAGACACTGAAGCAAGGATTTCAAGCACTTAAGAGCTAAGGCAGCAACATGAAGAGACCATTTTAGGCTGATTACAAAAAGCATTAAGAGCCCCAGTAAAAGGAAAGACCCAAAGGGTTTGCAGACAGCTAATCCGGTGGTATACCCAAAGAGCTGATCAGATCACAAGAGAAAAGGCAGTAATGGATGGATGCCACAAATTCAGCGGAAAGAAGATCAAACTTCACAGGCAATATCCACTTGTTTCCCTCTAAATAACATTTTTTAGCTTCTCACTCAAGAGGCAGCACTGTTAGAATTGGCTATGCTGAGCACTGTAACCGAGAAACTAACAGCACCAAACAGACCAAAAAATGCGGTGTGGGCTTCCACAGGCACACTTGGTTTGCACAAGAGGGACAAGTGGATTCTTGTGCAGCAGATGTCTCAGGCTCTTTAAAACCTTAGAGCCTGCCGGAGCAGTAGACCAGGAAGGAGTCAGATTCCCAGAAATGTACAAAAGCCAAGTTTGTGGTAGAACGAATAAATAAATTAATATTAAAAATATTAAACAAATACAGCCAGTTATCTTTTCTTAAAATTGAAAAATGCCATGCATTTCACCTATGCCTTTTCATGCCTCCTTCCACTCATTATAGCTTAATGCCTGTTCACTGAAAACACAATTCACCCCCAGAGATGGAGATGCCCCTTGGCCCTGTTCAGTGCATTCTCCAGCCGCTGGGTCTGGCTTTCATAAGAGATTTGCTGCAGCTCTCGCTGCACTCTAGGCTTCAGGATCGGTACCTAACATGCAGTGGGAAGAAACCAAGAGTGCTGCTTGGCTTCTCACGTGATTGTGTCAAGC